GCTGGTAGATTCGAACTGCCAGCCTTTTGGTTAGCAGTCAAACGCCTAACCACAGCGCCACCAGGGCTCATGGTATAGTCAATATTCTTCCCCAGCACCACAGTTCGAAGGCATCAGTTCTTCTTTGATCTTCTTTATTCATTGTCCAGCTTTCTCATGCACATGAGGAGATTGAAAACACCATGTCTTGGGTCGGGTGCACCTTAGTCCTTAAAATGACATCTTTGCTTTTTAACACTTTAAAGAGGTCTTTTCTGGCTATGAGGCCAGAAAATTTATTAACCTTCTCTGAACTGTAGTGATCGACTGCTAACCTAAACGTCAGCGGTTCAAAACCACCAAAGGCTCCGAGGGAGAAAGATGTGGCAGTCTGCTTCTGAAGAGATTTATAGCCTTGGAAATCCTATGGGGTCACTATGAGTCGGAATGGACTGGACAGCAGTAGGTGGGCTTATAGGCTTAATAACTACTTTGTAAGGTTGCTGTAAGGTTTAGTAACCTATTTAAGTGCCTGGTCTTTGGTAAATGGTACTCGTTGTAGTTAATTGTTCTAAAGATTGTCTCCAAGGGTCTACTATGGATTGTGGGTAAAATCTGTGGGATTGCTCAAATTTGTTGAAACAATAAAACAAATGTAAATTGGAAGTAATTTACCATCGAAACCTCTAGAGCTACCACTAAATTGCGTTGCTTTAAGTTTGTTACCCAAATAATTTTAGTTAGAGTTGGTTGGCTCAATTACAAAAACAGTAAAACTACTTTACAGATTAAGCTTGGTCTACTTCCTAAACAATGGGCACCCACCTAGCATCAAAAAATATGAAGGCTACTTCTATTCTGTTGTCGTTGGCAAGCACTTCACCGCTCTCCTGTTCTTCATTTTGTTCAGGTGAGTCGGATTATTGAGATTCTGTTCTTTACAATTTTCTTCTTTAGAATCTCTCTTTAACGCTCATCTCAAACATAGACTCTTAATTAGAATCACCAGGGAACTTGAAACTGATGTCCAGGTCACGCCCTGTACCAATTTATTCAGAATCTCTGGGTAGGGGGCGGGTAAGACCCAGGCAGCAGTGGCTTTAAAAGCTTCCCAGGTGATTTTAATGCACAGCAAAATTTGAGAACCACTGCTCTATAAGATAAATAAAACGAATTGCAGAAGCAGATAATACATTTTCCCTAAACTGCTCAAGTTGTACTGCACACACGGTGGTGGGAATGAGACCTTTTACATTAGCATGGATTAGTTTATCGGATTAGTTGATTGATACTTTGGCTCTAAGAATCTAAGAGGATAAAACACTAGCCAGGCAAATTTCAGCGTGTATAGCAAAGCCCTCAGACTTGAGCAGTGGAAAAGCACAAATAAAAGCAGGACTATGAAGTGCAGGGTAACAGTTTAGAGAAGATCAGACAGAAAGAGTTTAGAGCGAAAAATGGTGGGAGTTTGGGGAAGTTCTGAAAGCTGATTGCAAAATACTTTTTAAGCAAAGATTTTTTTAAAAATGGTAGTCTTAATGCAAGTGAAAGGAGCCCTCTTGGCACAAAGGTTAAGTGCTTAAGAACTGCTAACTGAAAGGTTGGCCGTTTGAACCCACCCGGCAGCTCTATGGGAGAAAGATCTGCTTCTGTAAAAATTACAGCCTATAAAACTGACTGGGGCAGTTCTGCTCTGTCACATGGGGTTGCTCTGAATTGAAATCAGCTCAACTGCACCTAAGAAAAAGTGCAGGTGAAGATACTGAGATATGTAGATCGCTGGAGGAAATGGAAATTGGAACAACCTTTCTTGAGGATAGCTTGGCAGTACCCATTAGAAGCCTTAGAAGTGTACTTATTTATTCTTTGACCCAGCAATTTCTCTGGATAAAATTTATTATAAGTAAGTAATCATGGATATAGGCAAAGCTGTAGTTATAAAGATAGGGACATTTGATAGGATTAAAAACCTTGTCTAATTAGTTCAAAACATTGTCATCTATAAGAAATATAGGGAATATTCAGCAGAAATACAATTAGCAAGCTTCCTTTTTCCTTCCTTCCTTCCTTTCTTTTTACAGCATAGTTTAAAAGAATGAAAATTTAAGAGCAACCCCTGTATGCAATAAGAGATTAAGTAAATTATGTTAAATCCATATTTTGGAATTCTATGCAGCCAGAAAATTTAGATTGTAAAATAATACTTAAGGAACTAAGAAGACCCAAAAAGAATTGATGCCTTTGAATTATGGTGTTGGC